CCTCTTTGTCGCTAACGTAAAACAGCGTTACGAATCAGTGTATGTGCGCGAGAGAAAGGGAGAAATTGCAATAACAGCGTAGCGAGTTTGATGGGTGATAGGACGATGCTAGACTCTTGGAAAAGATCCTTCCTATCGTTCCCTTCCAATCATCCTTACGGTTTATTTACAATTAAGATCGGAAATAATCCGAGATAATGGTCGTTGGATTGGATCGAAACTCTGCAACTCTGATGCCTTATTATATATATATATCTCTCGTCATTCCCCTGAGACTCGCTTTTCCTCGACACACGCTTATGTTTATGATCGGCCGGCACGAATTAAACCGTGTTTTGTTCTTATGTGTTCCACAGCGAGAGAGAGAGAGAGAGATTGATATTCAAAAGGGGATGGAAATTCGACGTTCCCCTCCCCTATTTTCGCAGGGACAAAGAGGGAGTCTCTTCGTTTTGACATTTGCCTCGTTCCTTTCAGAGGAACGAGCCTCGCGGAAAATGAAAGTCGAAAACGAACGGAGTTGGGGATAATCGCCCTTGGAAACGGTATGCGTCCTCTTCTTTCCTCTTGCAGGCGAGTATCGTCTGTTCTCCTTCCTCTTCGCTCTTGGAGGAGGAGGAGGGAAGAAGCGTTTATTCCCCTTCCTTTTCACCGGTGGAAATTCTTCTTTACGACGCGGCCACGACTTCCGCGATTAGGATATTTATCCGAACGACTCTCAAAGCTCTTACCTCGGATGAAAGGGGAGGGAGAGGAGTGTTCAACTCGGCGATCGGATGTTTCTACGCGCGCGTTCGCAAATTGCATCTCTCCTTCTCGATTCGATCGATAACGTTTGTCTGGTTTGTTGTGTTTGGTTCGTCGACCGCCGGGCTGTTTCACGGTGTTACGATTTTAATCTTTCCTCGTTGACGAAGAGAAGACAGTTAAAGCGTGGTTAATGTAATACGCGTATATATAAAATTTTTTAACGATACGATGAAAAATCAAATCGTCAGATTCCCCTCCAAAAGATCGCGCAACATCGCGTTTATATTCGTAATGAAATCGTAAAATAATCGTTGCCAATTTAACGTATCTCCCTTGTCAGGACAATTTATCACTCTCTCTTTACGACGAAAAATCCCGTGACAAATTATCAGATTCTTGGAGAAAGATGGCAGAACACGGCGTTATACTCTTAATGAAGTCGTACCAATGTTCGGATAATCGTTGCCAATTTTACGTTAATTTTATATCACTTTTTATCAATTTAACGTATCTTTCGATTTTATGTCAAAACAATTTATCACTCTCTCTCTCTCTCTTTAACAATACGACGAAAAATCCTGTGACAAATTATCAGATTCTCGCAGATCACAGAACACGCATGTTATACCTTTAACGAAATCGTATAAATGTTCGACAATGGTTGCCAATTTTACGTTTAATTTTATATCACTTTTAACGTATCTTTCGATTTATATCGCTTTTTCGATAGAACAACTTTCAATTTATCGCTCTCTCGTCACCTCGATATTAATAGCCGCTGAATTATTATACAAGAGGCTCGAGTCAAATTAACCAAGCCTTGACACACTCACTTCGAATAATTAACTCGATTATTCTTTCGAAAGGAACAACGCTTTCCAAAAATCCCATCCACTCTCCAACGTTCGTCATCGTGAGATATCTCGAAAGAAAAATCAATCGGTTGCTCTGCAATAGCTGACTCGGCGAGGAGGGTCTGGATAGCGTTGGAGTGCGCTCCAGGTGATCGTCCGCGACGCGAAAGTGGCTAGATCGGTCGGGGACGTTCTCTCTCCACGGGCTCTCTCGTGCTCCTTTCCAAGGAGCCAATAATTCATTTTCGATCTATCGATACCGGCTGACCCCGCCGGCCACTTCGATAATTCACGACTATCCTGCCCGCTACTTTCATCCCGCTGAGAAAAATTTGCGGCGACAGACGATAGAGACGACCAAAGATAAAGGGAGAGAGAGAGAGAGAGAGGAGGTGGACGGCCC